AGAGAGAGAATAGCTAGCGTTGGAATCCAAAGGTTCCACCGCCTGGTACTTTGATCTAAGCCTCGATGCCCCCTTTCAACAACTGGCAGTGTCAGATCTGGGAATGGAGACGTTGGAAGCAATCGGACACGGTGGTGGTGGAGAAGCCACCCAGCACAGTCGTGGCCCGCAGGAGGCACATACACGTTTATCTCCCGCTAATCCAGAGCGAAGCCGGCTGGGACTCCCCGGTCCCTGCGCTGCCCACGCCAGCTCAGCCCAGCTCCCCAGCTTTGTCTGCGCCAAGCTCTCCAGCCGCTTGGCCTCAGGCGCGCCCCCTACTGGCCAAAAACAACTGTGTGCAGATACACAGCCGGTTTGGAGCGCGAAAGTACCCACCGAGAGCCAAATTAAAGGCGAGACCCTATCTGCAATAAAAAACTAGAAGGACTGCAGGCATGGATCATGGTTCAGGTGGTAGAGCGTTTGCCTGGCATGCACGAGACCCTGAATTCAATCCTCAGTATTGGGGGGTGGGGAGGTGAACCCACTACACCCTAGCATCTGATAGAGAGAAGTGCAAATGGCTCTTGCAAGACCTGAAGAGGTATCCTGAGGACACAAAAGACCCCCATCCTTCTTGAGCATTCTGCATCTGACACCGTCTTCTAGGCACCGTATGCCTAGAATAAAACTTGTCCATTAAGTGCTATTCAATGTCGTTGATTTATGAAGAAATAAACTGGAAGTGCCCAGAGTGGTTTGCTGGCAACTGTATCTCTTAACCTATAAAATAAATAATTCAGTAAGAATAGAAAGTTCTCAACATGGCCTCAGAAAAGTGCTTAATATTTCAAGCACTTGTCTGTGGGTTGAAAACTGTAACTATTATTATTATTTCAAAGACATTTTTAGTTGTAAATGGGCTTTAGGAAATGCCAAGTTCTGGGATCTTTTATTTTATTTATTAAACACAGCTGACCCTTCTCTCACCTATTGTAAAATGACATTATTGATAAGAGCCATTCAGACCTAGTGTCAAGCTGCAGGGGTTTTGTTTTTTGTTTTATTTTTCCTGGGTCCTTGGGCTTCTGCACAGGACTCAAAGGAGAGTCCTCACAGAAGAAGTCTTCTTCCAACCAGCCTTTCTAGCTTCTCTTGGGGGCCCTCTGACAGTGCACTGTGCCCCTTTCTAGCCCAGGCAGGCTCCCATGCACAAAGGCACGCACACACACACGTACCCCAGCCTGGAGCCCAAGATAGACTGGAAGACTTCCCAAGACTCTTGAATTAATCTATTTTTTCCTCTGTTTTATAATTTTTTTCTTTGGGGGGGGCAGCACTGGAATTTGAACTTAGGAACTCACTCTTGCTAAGCAGGTGCTCTTACCACTTCAGCCACTCTGCCAGCTCTTTTTTGTGTTGGTTTTTTATTTTTATTTATTTATTTTTTGAGATAGGTTCTGGAGAACTATTTTCCCAGGCTGGCTTTGAACCGTGGTCCTCTGATCTCTGCCTCCTGAGTAGATGGGATTACAAGCATGAACCACCAGTGCCTGGCTCTCTTGTATAATTTAACCACTCATTTATTTGGAGGCAGATAGTTAAAAGATGGAAAGGAACCTTTATTTTTCTACTTCCTTATAATGTAAATTTACTTAGAAATTTTTTACCAGTAAGATAAGTAAAAAGAAGAAATTCCTTTTAAAACCATCATCCAAAGAATAATCTCCATGAACATTCACTCCAGTCTTTTTCCTACAGATAACAGGGACAACAAAGGGATTAGTGCCTTTGTCCATCTTGTAACCACCTTCTTTCCATATCTTCAAAGAGCCTTGGGCACTTGTATTTTTAATGGTAGCTGTACCATGATTGGTTGTTTTAACAGGCACGGTAATCCAGTGTTGGATGTTGGAGATGTTTTCAGTTTGGTCAGTTTGGTTTTCACTATTTCAAGTTTCACTCGTATAATTGAGTTGAATACTGAAGGATAACCAAGCTTAGAAGGAGGGGAGCATGGGCTTGATCCTTGTGACAGCTTAGGGGGTGGGGAAGTGCATGGTAGGCTCAGCTGGCATCCTGCAGTCTGGATGATGGAGTGGTGGAGGTGGGAAAGGCCCCAGGCAGGGAGCAGCACTGTGCATGGGCAGTGAAGTAGAGGACTGGGCAGCCTTTAGGACATAGAATCATATAAGAGATAAAAAATTTAAAAAACCTCAGGACCTCACACTTGCTGGGCAGGCGCTCTTCCACTTGAGCCACTCTACCAGCTGTAGATTTTTTTTTTTTTTTTTAAATAACTCAGCATGGGCCTGGGACAGACCCACTTAGTTACTCCTCCCCTGGCATCCTTGGTTTCCTGGCACCATTTCTTCCCAATAAGCCCACCCAATGAGTCCTCAATCAGAATGAACGCTGCAGTCCAAGGCTCAACAAGCTTTTCCTGTAAAGAATCAGAGAATAAGTATTTTAGGTTTCATAGGCCATGGAGCCTTTTCAAAAGTTAACGTCATTCTTAGCTCAGGCATGTACAGACACAGGCTGTAGGCACTGTGCAATTTGATGCAATCTGCTTCTCTCTTGTCAGTCTAAACCAAAACAACAGTCAGAGTCTCCAAAACAAAATTTATTTGAGAAAAGCAGAGCATTCAGTGGGAGTATCATGCACGCTACGGTGAACCACCGTTGTATTTAGAGGTTGAGTAGATTCCATCAGATGTTTTAAAACTACAATCCTTCCTTGTAGTTTTGAGTGATAACAAGAGTGGTGTCAGGCTGTGGTTGGACAGACAGAAGTTCTTTTTGTGTAAAGTTGCAGTGGCCACTGTACAAGCTTGGCAACTGGCTGTGTATTGTGACAGCTGCTCTCAGGTGACTATGTGTTAGGAGCCCTGCTTTCGTAAGCTCCAGCTTTGTTCACTTTTTCTGGGGGCTTGACACAAGCGACTCCATTTTGAGTCTGACAACTTTCCCATTTTTTCACACCTTCCACATCAGGTCACTGCTGAGAAAAGACCCATGGTTGGAGACTTCCTAGTATATTTGATACCAGAGTGGATTGCTTTATATATCCACCTCCTTCAGGGCAGCAAAATGATTTTCAGTAGCAGTTGTGTGATTGTCAGTAAAAATCACTATTTTCTTACTTGTTATTCTGGTTTTTTTTTAATTTGTGTATTTTTTTTTTATTTTGAGGTACTATTGCTTTAACTTAGGGCCTGACGCTTACTAGGCAGGTACTCTACTACTTGAGCCACTCCACCACACCTTTTTTGTTTTTTTTTTTTGAGATAGGGTCTGGAGAACTACTTTCCTGCTCTGGTTTCAAACTGTGATTCTCCTGATCTCTGCCCCCTGAGTAGCTAGGATTACAGGTGTGAGCCAGCAGTGCCTGGCTCTGGTTTTTATTTTTGGTTTGGGGTGTGGTACCAGGCAAACCCAGTGATTCACTCATGTGTCGCTCTACCACAGAGCGACAGCCTTGGCCTTGTTCCTCTGTTTTAAAATAATTAAAAGGAATGTGGCAGAGTACCTGCCTAGAAAGTGCAAGGCCCTGAGTTCAAATCCCAGGACTGTGAAAAAGAAAAACTAAAATAAAACAATTTAAAGGAAAGTCATTTAAAAAAATTTTTTTTAATTTACTATTTATTTATTTATTTTTGCAGTACTGGGGTTTTGAACTCAGGGCTTCACACTTACTAGGCAGGTGCTCTACCACTTGAGCCACTCCACGAGCCCAGATTTTGATTTTTTTATATTATTAAAAATTTTGATTTTTAATATTATTCGAATTGAGTGAAACATTTAATTTCACAGCATCAACTAAAAATGTCACTTTCCAAACTGGTTTCACACCTCAGAGCCTTGCATTGGGATTCACTATTTTAATCTTTAAAAAGAAGTGAAATCTCCAATGCACATAGAGAGGCAGCAGTGAAGTCACTGCTTCTTTGTCCCAACCACAGACGTGCTGTGCTGGCTCAGAGTGTCCTGTTGAGGGCAGCAAGCTGTCACACCACAGGGTCTGCAGGTGGGGATCCAGTGAGGGGGGCTCCCTCCAACACTTCTCCAAACTAGTGTGTGTAGCGAGACCACATCTGTATGGGTTCAACTGTAAAGCTAGAAGCTCTCAGAATCACTTCCATAAAGAATGCAAGTTTACCAAAAGATGCAAAATAAAAACAGCCTAATTTGAAGTGTATTCAATTGTATGCTATTAAAACCCAACATAATTGTTTGAAATGTAGACCAGCAAAACACTGTTTAGAGAAGAGTGTTTTTCAGTGTCTCTGTCTAGACTAGCTGGCACATAGTGATAATAAAATAAAGCAGACCAACTTTTAGTTGTCTGTTGTGGTTTTAAGCTCCCTGTGTACCGTGCTCCACCAATTATGGGCTGGGGGGCAGGGAGCTCCCCAGTTCTGGCCTTCAGGTTCGGCCACCCCCACATGCAGTAGGGTCTGAGGGCTCGGCTCAGCCTTTGGAACTGTCCCATCATGTCCATCACTTCTGTTATCCTGAACACCCAGGCCTCTACCTGATCTCTACCCTCCTCATTCTCAGCCAGTGAGCTAACTTCCTAGTTCACCAAAGAAGTCAACCCATCTGATGTGACTTTCCTTCCTACCACTTACCCCCTCTTTCCTCAGAGTCAGAGAGCCACAGAGGATGGGTCTTTCCTCCTGCTCAAAATGAGCCCATTCCAGCAGCTCCAGGGTTAGTCACCCCTCCCCTCCCCTGCCCTCCCCTCCCCTCTCCTCCCCTCCTCTCCCATGGTTATAATACTTACATATGAGATGACTGTAAAGAAAAAACAGATTTCATAAAAGCACTTGATCCAGTGAAAAACTAATCAGTGCCCCTAAATCCATATGACAAAGGTTAAGCTGAATGTCATGTGACACTGGAGCCACTTTTATCATGATGGGACCTAGGGCTATTCAAAGAGTTAAAGGTATGTTTTTGTTTTGATCTTCAATAAAATTATTTGCTGTCTGTATTTCAGGAAATCTTGGAACATGTATACAAGTCACGAAGACATTGGGTATGACTTTGAAGATGATCCCAAGGATAAGAAGACACTTAAGTCACACCCAAACATTGATGGCGGATGGGCTTGGATGATGGTCCTGTCCTCCTTCTTTGTGCACGTCCTCATCATGGGCTCCCAGATGGCCCTGGGTGTCCTCAACGTGGAGTGGCTGGAAGAATTCCACCAGAGCCGCGGCCTCACCGCGTGGGTCAGCTCTCTGAGCATGGGTATCACCCTGATTGTGGGTATGTCACATGCCACCCTCTGTGAATGATTATAAAGTGACAATTCCCTGCTGAAAGAAAGGCCTTATATTGTTGAGATGCTAAATGTTAGTGGTGCTACTGTTCTTTTAATTGTGCAGAAATATACAGAGCATGACATTTAACATCTTAACCATTTCTTAGGTGAACCGTTTAGTGCCATTATCTGCTTGCATTGCTGTGCGGCTGTCACCACCATCCAGCTCCTGACTTTTTGTTTTCATCGTCCCCAGTTGAAACTCCAGACTCTTCAAAACACTTACTTCCCCATTCCTACCTCCCCTGATCTCTGGCCACCACCATTCTATTTTTTGTTTATGAATTTGGCCATTCTGGGCAACTCTTGTAATTGGAGTCATAAAATATTGGTCCTTTTGTGTGATGTGGCTATTTGAATGTTCTAAATATTTGCAGTGGGCTGGTGGAGTGGCTCAAGTGGTAAAGCGCCTGCCTAGCAAGTGTGAGGCCGTGAGTTCAAACCCCAGTGCTGCCCCCTGAAACAATGTTAATAGATAGATAGATAGATATTTGGAGTATTTTAAAAAATTGATCATTTAAAAAACTCTCTTGTCTCTGACTCTGATTTATTTCTTTTTTTTGTGGTACTGGGGTTTGAACTCAGGGCCTACACCTTGAGCCACTCCATCAGCCCTTTTTTGGTTGAGTATTTTCGAGATAGGGTCTCATAAACTATTTGTCCAGGCTGGCTTTGAACCACAATCCTCCTGATCTCTGCCACCCAAGTAGCTAGGATGACAGGTGTGAGCCACCAGCGCCCGGATGAATCTGATTTCTTAAGTGTTATGATTCATTATCTATCATTTACCTCTGCTTATTTAACTTTGCTTTGTTTTGTTTTTGTTTGAGCCCAGGCTGGCCTCAAGTTCATGATCCTCCTGCCTCAGCCTCCCAAGTGCTGGGATTATAGGTTTGTGTCCCCGAGCCCTGGCTTTATTTAACATTTATGAATATTTATTAATATAATATATATTATGCTTATATACATATAAAAGTTGCAGCTATTTCAGATTTTATTACAGTTGCTTCTAAATATTACATTCTGTCCTTAGTTTTCCTTATTGGATTTTGCTTTAGCATTTATTTATTTATTTACTTGTTTGGCCATACTGGGGTTTGAACTCAGGGCCTCGTGCTTACTAGGCAGGTGCTCTACCACTTGAGCCATGCTTCCAGCCCCTTTGCTTTGGCATTTTAAAACCTTCTTCATGTATCAGATGCTTTGTGGTGAATATGAGCACCAAGTAACTTATGTCAACATCAAACCGACAGGACTCTTACGGCAGTGAGGAAGTCAGTGAAAGGTGTGTGAGCTCCAAGCACCAACACAGCAAACTCCTTCTTGAAGTGAGCCAAGGCTTCCTGTCTGACATCTTCAGGCCAAGGTCTTTTCACTTTACCATCAAGGTGAAAATAACATGAACGAAGTCTTCTTGCTTCTTCAGTCAAAACTGTGGATTTCCTGGAGTACGGTTAATAAAAACAAAAACGGGAAAGAAAATAGGTGTTTTAATAATCACTTACCCAGTCTTCCCCTTTCTCAAGACTTTAGGCAATTATAAAAATGCAGGAAGGAACTGGAAGTGTGGCTCAGTAGTCGAGTACTTGCTTTGCAAGCACAAAGCCCTTGAGTTCAAACCCCAGGCCCTCAAACACCAGTACCACCAAAAAAAACCTAAGCAAACCCCAAATCCCACCCCCCAAAAAAAATTACAGGAAAAACTAGTACATAATTAAAAATAGAAATACGAGGGCCTTCTGTACCGTAGGAGGCAATTTACCCATTTCATTTAAACCTCACCACAGCATGAGAGAATCCTACTCATTTTCTAAACAGGCTTAGAGGCATGAAATGGTTGGTGGCCAGACTCACACAGTGACGGTGACAGAGCTGAGACAGACGTAATACTCAAGTTGACACTAGCGAGCCTGTGTTATCTGTTTTGCTGCTCTGCCTCATGAATATTTTTTTTTTTTTCCTTCTGGAGTAGCTGGGATTACAGATATACAACATCACATCTGGCATATTTTTTTTTTCTTTTGGTGTTTTGTTTTTTTTTTCATTTTTCTTTTATTATTCATATGTGCATACAAGGCTTGGTTCATTTCTCCCCCCTGCCCCCACCCCCTCCCTTACCACCCACTCCACCCCCTTCCTCTCCCCCCCCTCAATACCCAGCAGAAACTATTTTGCCCTTATCTCTAATTTTGTTGTAGAGAGAGTATAAGCAATAATAGGAAGGAACAAGGGGTTTTGCTGGTTGAGATAAGGATAGCTATACAGGGCATTGACTCACATTGATTTCCTGTGCGTGGGTGTTACCTTCTAGGTTAATTCTTTTTGATCTCACCTTTTCTCTAGTACCTGTTCCCCTTTTCCTATTGGCCTCACTTGCTTTTAAGGTATCTGCTTTAGTTTTTCTTCGTTAAGGGCAACAAATGCTAGCTAGTTTTTTAGGTGTCTTACCTATCCTCACCCCTCCCTTGTGTGCTCTCGCTTTTATCATGTGCTCATAGTCTAATCCCATTGTTGTGTTTGCCCTTGATCTAATGTCCACATATGAGGGAAAAACAGTTTTTAATGAGTAGAACAAAACACTTTATACATGCACTCTGGGAAGTATGTACATGCAACAACAAAAAAAGGCTCAGCTTTGGGTGCAGTGATTGATGCCTGTAATCCCAGCTACTTAAGAGGTAGAGATGAGGAGGTTCAATCCCAGCCCAGGCAAAAATCACAATCAATGGCTGGGCGTCATGGTAGCGTGTACCTGTCATCTCAGTTATTTGGGAGCCTCAAGCATGAGACTCTTCTTCCATACCCTCCTGGAGATAAATCAAGACCCCATCAATCAATCAGTCAGTCAATCAATAAGCAAAGCAAAACAGGCTAGGGAGTGCCTCAAGCGGTAGAGCATCTTCCTAGCAAGTACGAGGCCCTGAGTTTAAATTCCAGTACAGTCAGAAAACAGCCAAAATTCAAACCATCCCATAAGGTAGTCTTAGACTTATTTTGTGTTTCACGAGTTCCACAAAAATAACCAGTGGAAACTAGTTCTGAAATGGTTGGACTTGGTCTTGGACGAGCTCCCCCAGCTCAGTGACAGTCGGCTGTAAGTTAGTTGGAGGATGAGTGTGAGGGTCCTGGAGTTCCAGCCTGCAAACTTCCAGACTGCAGCCTCATCCCCCCCCCAAAGATGCCTGCCGGGTGAACATGTTTTGCCCTGGATCTCGCTACGGAAATGAAGGACCTTTTATCTCCATGACCTTCACTCACTGTGTCCCAGCACAGGGTGGCTGCACGTGTGTTGAACAACCCAGAAACCAGCCTGGCAGCTGGTGTGCTGCCCACCAGGTACGCACGACCTCATTTGATCCTACAACACCGGGGCCACACTACCGCCTTACAGAGGAAGAACTTGGGACGCTCAGAGACCTTAGTGACTTAGCAAAGGCTGAACAGCCAGTAGAGGACAGGCTTACATCGGGGTCTGTTGGACCCCTGAATTGTGTCCACTGTTACCTTCTGCCTAACACTGCATCAAGTGAGAACTGAAAAAAATATTTGGCCAGGCTTCGGTGGCTCACACCTGTAATCCTAGCTACTCGGGAGGCAGAGATCAGGAGGATTGAGGTTGAAAGCCAGCCCAGGCAAATAGTTTGTGAGACCCTATCTCGAAAAAACCTATCACAAAAAAGGGCTGGTGGAGTGACTCAAGGTGTAGGCCCTGAGTTCAAACCCCAGTACTGAAAAAAATAAAAAAGTGTGAGTCGGGGTCAAAGGACTGTGTCATGGTTTTATTTTTCCCCTTGTCCTCAGAATGTGTGAGGAGTTCTTTTTGTTTTCTTGAAGTAGCAATTGGATTTTGGCACTGCTGGCTGACCATCAGTGAGCAAAGGTTAGAAAATGAATAGGAACTGAAAAGCTTGGGTTTGAATTCCTTTTTTTTTGTTTTTAATGTCTCTGGTTCATAACTCTGGAGGATTCACAGCATTTCTGGTCTGGCTTTGCCAATTTGTGAATCTTTAATAAATGATTGAAGCTCCGGCATGCAAGAATTAATCAGAAAGCCAGACTGATGGGCCAAGCACAGGAGCACACACCTGTAATCCCAGCTACTCCAGAGGTGAAAGGTAGGAGGATTCCAGTCTGAGGCTAGCTTGGGTAAAAGCAGACGAGAGACTATCTGAAAAACAAACAAAGCAAAATGATGGAGCATGGCTCAAGTGGCAGAGCTCTTGCTTTGGAAGCCCTGAGTTCAATCCCCAGTGCCTCAAAAAGGAAAAAAAAAGTCAGACTGTTGTCAGTTTACTGTTGTCCACTGTTACCAAGCTGATGTACTTATCAGTGAAGCAGTTAACTCTTCCTATCTGGTTAACAAACTCCTCCAGATGTAAAGAGGTGACTGACTTGAGGATTTCCTTTTTCCCCTCTCCTGTGCCCTCCCACTAGAACATTTCACAAACATACAGTTCCAGGAAGCACTTGCTTCTTGGTCTTTCTGTAATGTGAAAAATGTGACCTTCTGAATCTTGAAAGAGCTATAGACAGCAAACCGATGAGTCATGTATTTTTCTTTTTGGACACTTAGTCACCCAAGTTTGGCATGGTCAAGTAACAATGGGTTTAGAAAAATAAAAACGTGTGTAGAGAAGTGACAGCAATATCGTCACCTTCTGGACCTGAATTTCAGTTTCCCCCATGGTTCCCTCAGATGTTTATTTATTTACTTTTAGTGAGACCAGAGTTTGAACTCAGGGCTTCACCCTTAGAAAGCAGGAGCTCTACACTTGAGCCACACCTCTAGTCCATTTTGCTCTTCTTATTTTGGAGATGGGGTGTCTTGAACTATTTTCCTGGGTTGGCCTTGAACTTGATCCTCCTGGTTTCTGTCTCCCAAATAGCTGGGATTACAGGTGTGAGCCATTGGCACCTGGCTCCAATGGGCTTTTTATATACTAAGTCTTAACAGTCATAGTGTTTAAGATTAAACACTCCCGAAAACATAGATAGGGCTGGTGTATAACTCAGTGGTAGAGCACTTGCCTAGTGTGTGTGAAGCCCTAAATTCAATCCCCAGTGCCACAAAATAAATAAATAGAATTTTAAAAACTAGACAAAATAAACTCATTGAGAATTTACCCAAATATGACATGAATATAGTTAGAACTTTGAAGGAAATTTTTATTTACGTTTGGGCTAAAAGGGAAAACTCCTGCTGGGCACCAGTGGCTCACCCCTGTAATCCCAGTTACTCAAGAGGCAGGGATCAGGAGAATCATGGTTCAAAGCTAGCCTTGGGCAAATAGTCTATGAGACCCTATCTCAAAAAATCCTACCACAAAACAGGACTGGTGGAGTGGTTCAAGTTGTGGGCCCTGAGTTCAAACCCCAGGACCTCAAAAAAAGGCAGGGGAACTCCTTAGAACTCAATTAGTTTTAACTTGAAATAGTGGAGTTTCATGGTTATATGAAGTAATAAGAATCGGGCCTTGGGCATATTGGTGCATGCCTTTAATCCCAGCTACTCTGGAGGCAGAGCTAGATTGAGGTTGGAGGCCAGCTGAAGAAAAATAGTTATTGAGATCATTATCTCAAAAACAAGCCAGGTGTGGTGGCATACATCTGTAATCCCAGTGGCTTGAGAGACAAGGTAGGAGGATCATGGCAGCTCAGGTAAAAGCACAAGACTCAATCTGAAAAAAAAAAAAAGTAAAAGGGCTCAGGACTTGCCTAGCAAGCACCAGGTCCTGAGTTCGATCCCCAGCACTGCCCTGGAAAAAAAAAAAAAAAAAGGTAGTAACAATTTTTAAAAGAGCTAAAGTGAGCTATCACTCTGAAAATTGAGTACTGTCGCATTGTATTGGTAAAATCTGGGCTGCTGGAACATGGGATCATTGAAAACAGAGTGACAGAGTTCAGGAGGCCATCAGAATGTGTATGACGTCACACTGTGAGGTGTCACATCTCTGTACCTCAAAGTGTGTTCCTGAGCGTCCACTCCGTGGTCCAGTCAGAGCATGGGACAGTCAGTGGACACAGAGTGTGCCCTTTTCAGTTTGGCTTGCATTTGGGTGTCCTGGTGACAACAGGTTCCCCATGTGGAGCACAGGACTTCTGAGAACTGTTTTTCATGTTCCCTTAGATGTGGAGTCAAAAGCTCTGTTGTGTAAAGAGGTCAATCAAATAACACAAATGTGGCCGGGAGGCGGGGAGGCTGGGAGGCCGGGAGGCCGGGAGGCCAGGCATGAGAGCCAGGGCAAGGCAGAGGCTGTGATGTGTGGAGCGGGTCCTGACTGACTTGGCTCTGGACAGGTGTGTGTGTGACTTCTCTTAAATTTTCAATGGTGGCGACTCATCCCAAACATTTTTCAAACGGTAATTGAGGTGCGTAAAATGCACCGCAGGCTGACATGGCCCAGCGACCACGAGGGCAGGACTTGGCTTCCGGGCGGAACCATGGTCCCTTTTGTCAAGTGCTGCAGGCCTGGGACCCGGGTGTTCTCGGGCGGGTCATTTGCACCTGTCTTTGCGTGCTGGAAGGTTTCTGGACTTCCGATGCTTGACTTGGCTCGGGTCTCGTTCATCGGGCATTGTTCCTGGTGTCACTGAGTCGTCAATCCCCTGTCTGGTGCTCTGTCGCAGGCCCCTTCATCGGCTTGTTCATCAGCACCTGCGGGTGTCGCAGGACCACGATCCTCGGGGGACTGCTGTACTCCCTGGGCTGGGTGCTCAGCGCCTACGCGGAGAGCGTGCGTGACCTCTTTGTCACTTTTGGAGTCACAGCTGGTAAGCATGTTGGGTTTTGAAAGTCTGACCTCAGTGTTTCGTTGGGCATTTTGGCAATGAATTCTGCTCTGTCCTCTGCGTCCTACCCCACCCCCGGCTCCAGGAAATACTTTCTTAAGTTTTTATTTTATTTTTTTTTGGTGGTACTGGGGTTTGAACTCAGGGCCTCACACTTGCTAGGCAAGTGCTTTACCACTTGAGCCACTCTGCCAGCCCCAAGGAAATACTGTCTTAATGGGAGATGTTAGATGTCTTTCTGGGAGAGTGACCCAGCAGTTGAACTTGGCCTTCCTCACAGCATCCAATGAAATTTCCAGATGCCAGGCTTTCTCCCATCAGGAACAGGAAGGAGGACAAGCACCCAGAGGTGCGCAGATAAGCGTTGAGGGACTTCATAGCTCTCCCACTTAGGAACCACAGAATCGAGGCTGTCCCAGAGTAATCGCGCACTCTCTCCGCCCTGCTGAAATTAATGAGGTGACGCACAGCCCACATCAGGGGGCCTCCTCAGGAGCAAAGTGCAGTGTCCCTGCCCAGGGACAGTTCCAAATTGACCGCCCCGCAGTGTGGCTTGCATATCCGTTCTGCAAAACGGATTCCCGGCTGCAATTTCCTTTATCAACAGGTACCAAGGTCACACGGATAAATAGTCACTTCCTGTACAGTCGGTTTCAATGAACCCGACTCAGCCTGATGCTGTTTTGAGAATTCAGCCACAGTGTCCCTCTTAAGTGACACACTGAATGGGAGTTAAAAGTTAGTTTGGAATTCTGGCTTGTTTTTTTTTTAACCACTTATCCATGTGACTTTAGTCAAGTTACTTTAATTATCTCTCTCTTTTTTTTTTTTCTTTCTTCTGGTGGGACTGGGGTTTGAACTTAGGGCCTCAAGCTTGCTCGGCAGGTGCTCTACCGCTTGAGCCATGCCCACAGTCCACTTTTTAAATTTTATTTTGAGACAGGGTCTCACTAAGATGCTCAGGCTGGACTCAAAGTTAAGATTCTCCTGCCTCAGCCTCGCAAGTAGCTGAGATTACAGGCATGTGACACCACTCCTGGCCTCCACTAACTTTGAAGAAATACCAACTGTGAGTTGGGTGTGGTTCCAGAAGTATATTTGTATTTGCAGAAGCAAGTATAAGAATCTGCCTGTTTTCTATTCCCACTCACAAAGCAAGTGCTCTATGGGTTGATCCACACCTCCAGTTCATTTCTCTCTGGTTGTTTTAGAGATGGGGGGGGGGTCTCACAAACTATTTGCCCAAGCTGGCCTCAAACTGTGATCTTCCTGACTTCAGCCTCTCAAGTAACTAGGATTACAGGTGTGAGCCACCAGCATCCAGCTACAGTCAGTTTTCTTATCTGCAAAATGGAAGGATTTAAGTGTGACTGGATCAAATTACATGAGATCATTTGTGTAGAGCACTTACTATGATGCTTGGCACACACAAAGCCACTCATCAATGCTAGCTAATACACAAATATGTTTTAAATATAAAATAAATATTTTGCTATATTATAAGCTTAAGTATATGCCTTATGCTAGCAGGAGGTCAACTCAAAAACCTACCGTCTATGTAAGTTGATGGATGGCCTCTCTGTGACATACCTCTGTACACACACACACACACACACACACACACACACACACACACACGTAAGGTCCCTTGGCATCTTTTGAAGCACAGTTTAAGACCTTTGCTCTGAAGGACCTGGTAACAGTTCCTAAAGAACGGCTTAAGAAGGGAACAACTTTCCCCAGATAAGTTTGATTGCAATGTTTTATTGGGCATTTATGGGCAATGACCGGAGCTCTGGGTGCTGAGATTTTCATATTACAGATGAGACAAACACTCCTTTTACTGAGATGAGGGAGCCACACTGGGGTCTGAGGGGCCCCGAGCACCCGTGTGGGCTAGGTGTGTGGGTGCTTGGTAAATAGGCCATGGTGTGACCCTCAAAATGAAGACTGGAGACTTGTCCTCCCCACTGAGAGATCTCATGGCCAGACTGTGTTTAGATGGAATTTGATTTATCAGTATTCAGTGCTTACTGAGCTTCAAGTAGCATCATCTCTGTATTCGTTTATTAGTTCATCCACTTAGCCACACACACACTTACCGAGCCAGGAAAGTGAGAGGAAAGGCAGGAGGCTGGTGAATGGAAATGTGTTTTTTTCTTTCTTTCTTTTGTGTAAGAAACATGTTTCTTGAGACACTTTACTGCTTGTTAAGCAGGAAAAATCCAAAGGATGCCTCAGAAAATAAACTTATTCTCCACCATATGGAAAACTCAGCCAGTTCTGTTAAGTCCTGTATGCAAATGCTGTCAGGCTGTCATTAGTGACGAATGTCGAGTCTAACTGGCCATCCATCCTATATTTACAGACAAGGAAAATGTCAGCTGCAAAAGTCACTGTGTACTTTGCAATGACAAGAGACTTTGCTGATGTCTTTTCTTCATTCCAAAAGCATTTGAAGCAGGCGTGTGTCGTGTGTGTCCGTGTGTATGTGCAAGTCCCTATGTGTGTGTTAAATACTTACACACAGTTGAAACTACATGCAACGTCCTCCTGTACAGCAGAAGCCAAAGGTCTGAGCCAAAGGTCGCCAACGGCATCTGGGCCAGTTTCTCCAGCCTTGCCAGCTCCATTCTCTTAGGCCTGGCTCTGGAGGCACCTGTTCTCCATTCACACTGACCCAGGACCGTGGGATTCTCTGTCCCCATCTGGGCCATCTCCTCCCCAAACCTGTCTTCACACCTCCTCTAACCTGGATGTGGAGGACTATTGTTCCAGGACCCTGCCCTAGGTTGGACATTACTGGGACTTGGCCTAAGTGCACACATCCCCCCAAGGCTTGCCCTACAAGCTCTTGTGACATTCATGCTGATTATAAACAGCAAAGTCACATTAGGACGGGGTGAATGCTGGTAAGGATGGCCCCACAGACTTCTTTTCTCATACATGGAAGAACTTACCTTATACTAGCTTAGAATTAGTGTCGTTCTGATGCTTACGTCTCTCAGTTCCATTGCGATTTGCCATTTTATACCACAGCTGTCTAGAAATTTGTAGCCTTATTAAATGCAGGATGATGCCAGGTGTGGTGGTACACAGCTATAATCCCAGTACTCATGAGGCTGAGGTGGGAGGATTACAAATTCGAGGTAGGCCTGGGCTACATAGCAAGATCCTGCCCCCCAAATAAAAACAAAAACAAAGCAAACAAAATGTAGGATGTTAGTTGTCAGTGACAAATCAATTTTTCTTAATCAAAACATATTTTAATGATATCAAGGAATTGTTTATTTTTATTCAAATGAGGTGATGTGACTATGCTGCTTAACTAATTCTTACATTTGGAGATTTCTTTTTTTTTTTTTTTGATCTGGCCAAGAGTTGGAGATTTCTACTAAAACAGTCACACATGAAATAATTTATTCAGGATTTGCTTCAAAATTATATAGAGGGGGTGGTTACAGAATTGGCCATGAGTTGATAACTGTCAAAGCTAAGTGGTGGGCACCTGAGGATTCATTAAATCATTCCATTTTTTCAAAGCTTACTTGGAATTTGATTTAAGCTGTTTCATTAGACTAATTGTTTAATTGACTTGCTATAACATAGGCATATTACATTTGCATATATTGTATATATGTAAATATATCCAAAATATCCATATATTGTACATTCGTAAATGACATGTGTCTCAGGACAACACAATTCAGCAGGTGGTGTCTCCGATTTAGCAGTGAGAAAGCTGAGCTCAGAGTGTTTAACTGACTTGGTCAAAGTCATGTGCTGTTTTCAGGGACAGAATAGGGCTTATAGCCACAGTCCTGAGGGTGACAGTGCTGTGCCACCATATTTATTATCAGAGGATCTGTTGATTCCCTAATAAATAGAGACAGGGTCCACACAATGACGTTTTGGTCAATGATGGACTTTACACATCACAGAGGTCCCATAAGATCATATCATCTTCTGATGTCATCGCCATTGTAGTTTTGTCAGTACACTGTATGATTTTGCACAGTGACAAAACCGCCTAGTGACGTATTTCTCAAACATGTTTCTGAGATGTATTTCTCTGTCGTTAATCAACATATGACTATAATTTGGTTTTCAGAATAACCATAGATGTGCCCATTTTACAGCCAAATTTTTTGTGCTTCACCTTAGAAGTGCAAAATTTAGTCTTGTTTGAAAAATGTTGCTATTATTTCAAAATTTGATTGTAGTATCTTGATATAAAACTTCCTGGTATTCATCGTGCCAGGCACTGATCAGATCATGGGATCAGTGGTGGGACTGGAGTTTGAACTCAGGGCTTTGCACTTGCAAAGCCCTTTCCTGTCTGAGCCACACCTCCAGTACCAGTCGCTGTCTGAGCACTCGGAAACCACATCAGAGGACAGAAGGGAAGAACCCTGTGCTGCAGTGCTTTATAGTCTGGCAGAGGCGAGAGCTCAGGAGAGACCATAGGCAGCACCTTGTAAGTGAGCAAACCTCATGCCTGTGTGCCACAGGAAGAGGAAAAGGGAACAGGGTAGGGGAGACGAATGGAGGTGGTAGGCAGGGAAAGGAGTTATGTTCTCAAACAGAACGATCAGGGCCAGCCTGCCTGAGGAGCCAGCAATGAGCAGGGGTGGGCATGTGCCCTGGGTCTGCCCGAGGGCAAGACCTTGCAGCAGAGACAGCAGCCAGCTTAGGAAGGGACAAGAAATCTATGAAATTCTCCTGTCTCAGAGGAACTTCCCTTGTCCAGTTAGGTTTTTGTATGAGTAGCACATCACTCAGTAGATATTATATAATTTCTGTATTTTCACTTCAAAATTCTATTAATTTTCTAATTTTCTCAAACAGCACGCAGATATTCCAAATCATTGAAAGCCAAGCAACCTGTCAGGATGGCCTGTATGATCGGCAGTGGAATATTTCCTTCTGTTTCTGCCCTTTCTGTTTTTTCGGTACTGGAGTTCAAACTCAGGGCCTCACACTTGCTAGGCAGGTGCTCTACCACGTGAGCCACTCTGCCAGCCCTGTTTTTTGTGTTGTGCATTTTAAAGATAGGGTTTTGCGATCTATTTTCTGGGGCTGCCTCTAACCACAATCCTCCTGATCTCTGCCTCCCACGTAGCTAGGATTACAGTGGTGAGCCACTAGTGCGGGCACCTTTCCTCTCTTGATGAGCTTGGGTATCCCAGCCTGGAGAGCAGACGGGCCAGCAGGTGATCGTTCCTTCCACGCCGTGCTCACCTGTTGTCCTTGTGCTTTCCTCTATGTCCCCTGCAGGTCTGGGCAGCGGGATGGCCTACCTCCCGGCTGTGGTCATGGTGGGGAGGTATTTCCAGAAGAGGCGAGCCCTGGCCCAGGGCCTCAGCACCACGGGGACGGGATTTGGCACCTTCCTCATGACTGCGCTGCTGAAGTACCTGTGTGCAGAGTACGGGTGGCGCTACGCCATGCTGATCCAAGGCGCGGTGTCCTTGAACCTGTGTGTCTGTGGGGCGCTCATGAGGCCCCTGTCCCCTGGGAAGGATGGAAACGCCCCTGCTCCCTCCCCTGAGTCTGTGAAGTCAGGTGGACAGCTGGCCAGGCCAGCGGAGGCAGACGACGACGGCAGGCCGGGAAGGAGGATGCTCGCTGTGACCTTCAGGCCGCGGAGCGTCAAAGTCAGGCACGGCCCGGGGAGAACGCGTGCGCCCTTCGGGTTCTGAAGACCGTGAGCCGCCTCTCCGTGAGGGTCCGGACCGGCTTCAGGGACTGGTACTCGGGTTACTTCGGGACGGCGTCGCTTTTTAGCAATCGCATGTTCGTAGCTTTCATCTTCTGGGCTCTGTTCGCATACAGCAGCTTCGTCATCCCCTTCATCCACCTCCCAGAAATTGTCAACTTGTATAACCTGGCGGAGCAGAACGACGTCTTCCCCCTGACTTCGATCATAGCAATAGTTCATATCTTTGGGAAGGTGGTCCTGGGCGTGGTGGCCGACCTGCCCTGCATCAGCGTCTGGAACGTCTTCCTCACCGCCAACCTCACACTGGTCCTCAGCATTTTGATCCTGCCCTTGATGCAAACCTACGCCGGCCTGGCCGCCATCTGCGCCCTGATTGGCTTCTCCAGCGGGTACTTCTCCCTCATGCCGGTGGTGACCGAGGACCTGGTGGGCATCGAACACCTGGCCAACGCCTACGGCATCATCATCTGTGCTAACGGCATCTCCGCCTTACTGGGCCCTCCATTTGCAGGTAAGCGCCCCAAGTTGCTGAGAGCAACTTGGTGAGTGGCGGGGGGGGGGAGGAGGTGGACAGGACGTGAAGGCCCTGGTCCAAGGTCCAATAAGAAAGGAGCCCCCATTTGTGTCTGCTGTCCTTTCTCTTCCCATTCTTGCTCCCAATTTCTCTTAAGCTTCATCAGTTTGCTGAGCTTCAGTGGCTCACACCTGTAATCCTGGCTACTTGGGAGGCTGAGATCAGGAGGATCATGGTTTGAGGCCAGCCTGGGCAAATAGTTCATGAGACTCCATCTCCAAAAATAACCAGAGCAAAATGGACTGGAGGTGTGGCTCCAGCAGTGGAGTGCCTGTTTTGGAAGGATGAAACACCTTGAATTCAAAGCCCAGTCCCACCAAAAATAAAATAAAGAAAGCAGGTGCGAATGACTTCTGTAGCCAAGAAGTACTGAGAATAGGGCTGGGGTTGTAGCTTGGGGGCCGACAGCACTCAAGGCCCAAGTCCCCAGGACTACAAAAAGTACATAAATAAGCAATTTTTAAAATATAATAATACCAAGAATCTTTGTAGATCTTCTGTTGTTTTTCCCTGAAAGAGGCATCTGGACTCTTAGGTGGCATTTTGATTTCCTGAGCACCATGTGTCATCGGTCCAGCAGAACAGCCACAGGCTGAATCTGGCCTGATGCTGCTGCAATTGAATGTCATAGAGTGGCTTAAAATGATTCGGACCATCATCTTGCCGTTCTGGGGACCAGATGTCAAATGGGTTCCACTGGGCAAAAATCAAGGTGTCTGCAGAGCTGTGTGTCTCCTGGGAGCTCTGGTTCCTATCCCTTCCAGCTTCTACAGGCCACCTGTGCTCTTTGCCTCGTGGCCTTGCTCCCCTGGGCCCACCTGGGTCATCAGGACCATCACCCCATCTTAACTTAATCCTGTCTGCAAAGTCCCTCTTGCCATAGGAGCTTACACAGTCCCACCATCAGGAAATAACACGTGGACATCTTTGGAGTCAGGGACATTCTGCCCACCTCAGGCCTAGAGGCCACCAGTTGGCTGTACTCACTTCTGTCTGCTATGCTGGTGACCAATAGCAGAGTCATGATGGGAGCTGTGTAGGAACTGGCACGTCTCCCAACCTGTGGCCTGAGCAGGGTGTAGGCAAGTGAAGGCCAGACAGACGACTCACGCCTCAAAAAACCAGGTTCTTTGTCCAAGAATGGAGACAGGCGCCCACAGAGGTGACAGGCACTGGGGTCAAATATCAGCACAAAAGATTCAGGAGGTGGCTGGGTGAGCCTGGCTCTCCAAACATCTTCTGACCCCCACCTCTCTGCCCCCACTCACTTTGTTCTCACCCCTCTGGCAGGAATTTCTCTTCCCAGTGGGTGGAGGAACCCATGGGTACAGGACAAAACCCCTGCCCCTTCCTTGCCAGGCTGCCTTAATCTTAAAGTCATCTCCTGTCTTAGAAGGTCACTTGTGTCATCAAACCCATTTTTAAGTACCCTTTGGAATTTGAAGTTGAATAGATCATGGATTTTTACCTATATAGGTTTCAATACTGACAGCTAGCAGAATAAAGGACTTGGGGGTTTTTTGTTGTTGTTTTGGGTTTTTTGTTTTGTCTGGTGGGACTAGGATTTGAACTCAGGGCTTCACTCTTGCAAAACAGGCGCTCTGTTGCTTGAGCCACACCTCTGGTCTGGTTGCTCTTTGTGATTTTGGAAATGGGAGTCTTTCAAACTATTTGCCTAGACTGGCCTCAAACTGTGATCCTCCTGATCTCAGCCTCCCAAGTAGCTTGCATTACAACTATGAGACACTGGGTGCCAGCTTGAAATAAAGGTTTAAGGCCCAACATTCACCTGAGAGAACCACAGGGGCCTCCTCTGAGCTCAGGCCACTCCTGGTCTCTGTCCGTGCACAGAAATTCAGATGCAGCATTTTCACGTGATAGTAAATAACTATAGCAGTGCAACAAAGTATTTTGGCAGCCACTCATCTTGCTGTGCAGAATGGTTAGAGTTAGGAATATATGTGCTACCGCCTTAATAGTGATAGATTAAACAGAGATTTAATGGTGTCACAAAACCAGAAAAATACAGTCCAGGGCCTAGATGATTTTGAAATTCTCTTTGCCTTTTCCTCATGATCACATAATAATTGCTGTACCTCTAGCCACTAAATCATCACCTATAACAAGGGGGAAGAAGGAGGAAAAGGCTTGGTCCTAGCAGAATTTCACTTATATCCGATTGGCTAGAACCTTGGGGCACTGAGAATTGGAGTATTTTACTTTGCAGACTCAGCACGAGAGGCCCTGCTTCCTTCCTTGCATTTGTTGTAAGGAATGGTGAGTGACATTCGGTCTCTGCCTGCATTATGTTTAATTCACTGACTTTTCAGGCCAAGAAGCTAACACTGTTTTGAGATGTAAGCCCAGTATTTATGCACTGTAGAATCAGGGTGGCTGGCGATCTGAGTAACTAAATAGCCAAATTACATTCTTGCTGGAAATTCAGAGTGGGACAGAAATTATTACTTGGCTTGGTGTGCTGCACAGAAAACCACTGCTCATGTTGCCTTTTTTAGAAGCATTCAGAAGAACGTGTGTTTCCTGTTTTTTCAGAGCAGTTTCTACCGGCTCTTAGACGTCCAGTACAGTTTACAGCCAAGGTAGACAATCACGTATTTCCATTTAGGAAAAAAACATACAGTTCAAGATCCTGCACAAACATTTCAACCATGTCATTTAGCTATACGAAACTTCTCGATGTGGTTTATTTCATAGTCTTACTGGGCACTCACTTCTCCTTTAAAGATGTAATAATGGTAGTACTTTTCTTATGTATATATATTTTTTGACAGTACTGGGGTTTGAATTTAGGGTCTCACGCTTGCTAGGCAGGTGCTCTACCACTTGAACCACTCTACGTTTCTTTTTTTTTTTTTTTTCATTTTTCTTTTATTATTCATATGTGCATACAAGGCTTGGTTCATTTCTCCCCCCTGCCCCCACCCCCCTTACCACCCACTCCACCCCCTCCTTCCCCCCCCCCGTCAATACCCAGCAGAAACTATTTTGCCCTTATTTCTAATTTTGTTGTAGAGAGAGTATAAGCAATAATAGGAAGGAACAAGGGGTTTTGCTGGTTGAGATAAGGATAGCTATACAGGGCATTGACTCACATTGATTTCCTGTGCGTGTGTTACCTTCTAGGTTAATTCTTTTTGATCTAACCTTTTCTCTAGTTCCTGGTCTCCTTTTCCTATCGGCCTCAGTTGTTTAGATATGTTTCTAGACATTTCCAAAGTACAGTCTAGCAAAACTCAGCCACTAGATTGGGCTGAAGGAGAATCTACACCAATCGCCTTCATTTCCATAAAACCTAACACCTTATTAATTTGCAACGGGTTTCCATGAGGAGCTGGAAGCTCTTATCTGATAAGAACAAGAGCCCCCGCTTCTCGTTTACAGCTCAGATGAAAGGAGTGCGGTTTCTTTATTTTTGGCAGTAGTAGTTGGGTATTTCAAAACTGTAACTCAAACAGGGCTAGCAGAGTAGCTCATGTAGCAAAGCACCTGCCTAGCAAGCGTGAGACCCTGAGTTCAAATCCCAGTATTGCCAGACACCAGTGGCTAACACCTGTAATCCTAGCTACTCAGGAGGCAGAGATCAGGAGGATTGTAATTTGAAGCCAGCCTGGGCAAATAGTTCTCAAGACCTTATCTCAAAAAATCCAACACAAAATAGGGCTGGTGGAGTGGCTCAAGTGACAGAGCATCTGCCTAGCAAGCATGAGGTCCTGAGTTCAAGCCTCAGTACCACTAAAAACCTGGGGATATAGCTCAGCATTGGTGAGGTTCTAGGTTCAATCCCCAGTACCAAAACAACAACAAAAGACATGAGTTATTTTGAAGCTTGGGCGTGCAGTGATATTTTCACAACTGTTTATACCTTTAGGGGAAAAATACAAGATTTTTCATTTTCATTTTTATATTAAATTGTGCACAGTGGAGGGTTCCAGCAGAACACTTCCACACTTGCATGTAACATACTTTGATCATATGCACCCCCATTACTCTTTCAGATGTAAGATTTTTAAAAATTCAGTAAGGCTGTAATGCCATGTCATTTACTTAACAGACACTGTCTGTATTCTGCAGAGAAAAGACGAGGGGAGGGTGGAGAGAATGAGGTGGCAGGGCATCCTGAGAGCAGTGGTGTTCATCGCCAGGGGGAACAGGACGTGTGCACACAAAGGAGCCATGGGAAATTCTGTTGAAACTTCGTTCAGTTCAGCATGGCTTGGGAGCCAGAGGTGGGGCCGTGACAGAGCCCACCGCTTCAAGTAACATGTCAATGAGTCATCTGAACTAAATGCAAATTAATTTTCCAGTCAGGTGGGGTTTTGTCTAATTTCCGAAGCTCATGTCAAGCAGCAGTCATAGTTCAGCTGTCTCAGTCATCAGTGTGGTGACTTCAAGCTTCCACTCCCAATTACTTGATCATAGGAAGAGTGAGGATGTAACAATTAAAGTGACAAAGCCACCCTCCATTGGGGATTAGCAGAATATGAGACTCTTACCTATATTTAGTGATTTGGGTGTGGGGGGGAATTGAACCCAGGTCCTTGTGCAGGCACAGTGCACACTCCACACCAAGCTTCTCTCCAGCCTGATTATCTCTTTTTCCCCCTTTATTGTTGTGCTGGGTGGGGTACATTGTGGCATTTACGCTGCTTCTTACAATGTATCAAATATATGCTTGAGTTTACCCCCTCCACTGCTCTTCTTCATCCCCCTCCCCCATTCCTGGAGTAGTTTCAACAGCTCTCATTTTTGCATTCACATACATATGTGCTCATTCTTTCACGCTCCCCCGTTTCCTATCACCTCCCCTCTCCCCCTAGTCCCAGCCCTGCCCCCTGGGCAGGATCTGTTCTGCCCTCCTGTTCTCCGATTTTGTAGAAGAAAAAAAGAGCAAAGATAAAAAGAAAAACATGACATTTTAGCTTATTTGAGATAAAGGCAGCTACACTGGGAGTTGTGATATTTCCATGGATCTGTGTAGTATAAGCCAACTTGCTTTATCTGCTCTCATTTTCTTCATTCTACCTTAGTCCCTTTCTTATAGTGGTTTCAGCTGGTTTAAGATTTCTATATTCATTCTTGTATAGAGAGTATATTGACCATATTCAAGTTCTTACTTTCCTTCTTTTACCCTACGCCTCCCGGGTGTGACCTCCCCTCGGTGTGACTAGTGTTTCATGACATTGCTGCATTTGTGTTGGGTCTCCATTCCACATATGAGAGGAACATGCAGCTTTTGGCCTTCTGAGCCTGGCTAACGTCACTTAAGCTGATGTCCTTCAGTTCCATCCATTCACCTGCAAAAGACAAAATTCCATTCTCCTTCATGGCTGCAGAAAATTCCATTGTGTGTAGATACCACATTTTCTTAATCCATTCGTCAGTGGTGGGACATCTTGGCTGTTTCCATAACTTGGCTATTGTGAATAGTGCCGCAATAAACATGGGTGTGCAGGCACCTCCGGAGTAACCTGAGTCACAGTCTTTTAGGTATATCCCTAGGAGTGGGATTTCTGGATCATATGGCAGATCTATGTTTAGTTTGTTAAGAAGCCTCCATATTGTTTTCCAGAGTGGTTGCACCGGCTTGCTGTCCTGCCAGCAGTATATAAAGGTTCCTTTTCCCCCCTGCATCCTTGCCAGCACCTGTTGGTGGTGGTGTTTTTGATGATGGCTATTCTAACGGGGGTGAGGTGGAATCTTAGTGTGGTTTTAATTTGCATTTCCTTTATTGCTGGAGATGGTGAGCATTTTTCATGTGTTTTTTGGCCATTTCAATTTCTTCTTTTAAGAAAGTTCTGTTTAGTTCAGTTGCCCATTTCTTTATTGGTTCATTAATTTGGGGGGAGTTTAGTTTTGAGCTCCCTGTATATTCTGGCTATCAGTCCTTTGATGTATAGCTGGAAAATATTTTCTCCCACTCTGTGAGTGGTCTCTTCAATTTAGAGACCATTTCTTTTGTTGTGCAGAAGCTTTTCAGTTACATGAAGTCCCATTTGTCCATCCTCTTAGTTGCTGGGCTGCTTGAGTTCTACTGAGGAAGTCATTGTCTATGCCCATTCCTTCCAGTGTGTCCCCTGCTCTTTCCTGTACTAAGTTCAAGGTTGCAGGTCTGATATTAAGTTCCTTAATCCACTTTGAGTTGATTCTAGTACAGGGTGATAGACATGGATCTGGTTTCAGTTTTCTGCACAGCCTCATTTTCTTGATTGTAGATTACAGACAGTCCCATCATGCACTCTGCTTGCAGGTCCAGACTGCTGTATGTGACCTGCAAGTGATTTCCTCACTTTGGGGAATTCACTGAGGTCCACTGTTGGCAACTGATGAATACGTGTTGGGTACATTTTTGTTCAGCTAGCTTTCCCTGTGACTTTTGGATTCATTTCTGAAGCTGAATCATTATTTTTGGCTTCTATGTTTAATATTTTCTACCCTTCTTATCTCAGATTGTAGATTAAGAAAAGATAGAGCCAGGTACTAGTGGCTCACACATGTAATCTTAACTATTTGGGAGGCTGGGATTGGGAGGATCATAGTTCGAGGCCAGCCAGGGCAAATAGTTCATAAGACCCCATCTCCAAAAATAACCAGAGCAAAATGGACTGGAGGCATGGCTCAAGTGGTAGAGCACCTGCTTTGCAAGCATGAAGTCCTGAATTCAAATCCCACCAAAACCAAAAAAAGAGCATTTTACTAGGCTACATCTAAAGAATGTGGCATTTTCCCCCATTTTGATATCAAATAGAAAATTTTAAAACTTAGTTCACTTTCAAGGTATTCCCAGACCATAAGAAAATTAAGATCAGCTGGGCATAGTGGTTCATGCCTGTAATCCCAGCAACTTGGGAGATAAAGGCAGGAAGATCTCAAATTTAAGCCCAGCCAGGCAAAAGTTGCAGCAAGACCCTGTCTCAAAAAAAACAAACAAAAAGGGTAGAGAGCTTGCCTAGGAAGCCTGAGGCTATGGGTTTAATCCCAAGTACCACAAAGAAAAAAAAAAGCTTTTAACTTTTTATACTATTGTTTGTTATTCCTTAAGAATCCCTCACTGACACACTACATAGATAATGAAGGCACACTAGTTATTTGCTTGGTAACTACTTCAGGCAACTATGGGAAGTCAGGGCTGGTTTGCACCCACCCGTCACAGTGGCCACATGTGACTGATTGTTGGTGGGAGAAGATTATATTGCCAGTTGATACTTTTTTAAGATACTTGGGAAAAGCAGCCAAGAATACTGTGTTTACTCATTAACGAACTGTTTTTTCCCATCTTTGTTATAATTACAGAAATGGGATACAATACAGAATGAAAATGAGAAATTAATCTAAATTTATTTTACCAGTAAGTGAAATTCCTTTCTGAAAAATTTGTGGTGGCACTGGGGTTTGAACTCCGGGCTTCAGGCTTTCAAGGCTGTGCTGTACCACTTGAACCACTACCCCAGCCCCCATAAATGAAATTCTTGCATTTAGCTCAAAGCTCTCAGTTCATATAGTTGACTATGTGGGAACCGAGACATGAGGCTGACTCAAGCTGGATGCCGGTGGGTGCCGGTGGCTCACGGCTAAAATCCCAGCTACTCAGGAGGCAGAGATCAGGAGGATCATAGCTCCAAGCCAGCCCGGTCAAACAGTTTGAGAGACCCTATCTTGAAAATACCCAACACAAAAAAAGGACTGGTGAAGTGGCTCAAGTGGTAAGAGTGCCTGAAAGTGAGGTCCTAGTTCAAGCCTTTTAAAGCTTACTACAAAAAGGATAACAGAGCAGGTTTTATTATTATTATTATTATTATTATTATTAGATATTGAAGATTGAACTCAGGGTCTTTTGCACTTTACCACTTGAGCCACAGCCTCAGTCCTTTGTTACCTTTAGTTTGGTTTTCAGACAGAGTCTCGTGTTTTTGCCTGGGCTAGCTTCAAACCAAAATTCTCCTGTCTCTGCCTCCTGAGTGTCTGGGATTACAGGCATGAGCCACCACACCCAACTTAAAATTTCAAATATTAAAGACTGATAGTTGCGGAGAAGATGATGAATGGGTTCTAAATTACAGTTAGGTTGGTGCAAGAAGTCCAGGTGTGTTATCACACAAGAGAGTGACTATGGATAAGAACAATGTAGCCTGGCACTGGTGGCTCACACCTGTAATTCTAGCTACTCAGAAGGATTGCGGGAAGTCAGCCCCTACAAATAGATCACAAGGCCCCATCTCAAGAAACCCAATGCAAAACAGGGCTGGTGGAGTGGCTCAACTGGTAGAGAATCTGCCTAGCAAGTGCGAGGCCCTGAGTTCAAGCCTCCAAAATAATAAATAAATAAATAAACAAACAATGTAGTGTACATTTCAAAATGCCAGAAGAAAAAAATGTTGAAAGTTTTCCTCATAAAGAAATGATAAGTGGCCTGGCAGAGTGACCCAACTAGTACAGCAACTGCCTAGCAAGCACGGGGCCCTGAGTTCAAACCCCAGTACCACAAGAAAAATAAATGATAAGAATATGAAGGCACAGATACATTGTGATTTAAACATTACGGAATATGACATGTATCGAAATGTTACCTGCTATCCATTGGCTTATGCATTTTAAATGTTTTTACGTGTCAGATAAAATAAATTTTAAAATGTAAAGTTTATAGCTATAAATAGGAATTTTACAAGACCTAGAACTTGTGTTTCCTTGGAGAAGAGGTATTTAAGCTCAAATGCTCCAGAATGAACAAAGCTAAGTGTCTTTTGTTCAGCCTCTTTGATACACACTAGAAACTCTGGAAGAGTTTGGAAGGCTTTGGTGTTTGCCCTTGACCACTTTTCACTTTTTGTCCGGCATGCAAGTTAACCCGAGGGCATCAAGCCAGGTCACTACCTCCCTAGGGACCTTCAGAAGTGCAACAGTGTCTTGACAGATGGCCTCAATCACCAAGGGCCCTGGGAACTCCGCTGATACAGCAGGCCCTAACAGCAGTGACCTAGGGCTGGGAGCGTCTGTCTGGCCTGCACGAGGCCCTGCGTTCCATCCCCAGCACAGGAAAAAAAATAGTAATTATAAATTCTTATAAAAATATTTGTAGTAGAATGAAAGTCTGCTTTGTGTTCTTGAGTTTTGTTTACACGGAATATATTCCTTTTTGTTTTGTAGGGTGGATCTACGACATCACACAAAAATACGATTTTTCCTTCTACATATGTGGTTTGCTTTACATGGTCGGAATCTTCTTTTTACTCCTCCATCCTTGCATTCGAATTATAGAACAATCCAGAAGAAAGCACACAGACGGGGCACATGTTTAGTGTCACATCAGCGTCTTGGATTTCATTGTGGTTCTCATGTCTACCTCGTGTGGTTGCTGTGGGGAGCCTATGTGGAGAAGTGCTCTGTGCTGTGACAGCCGGTGTCACAATGTCACTGGACATTGTAAATACCAATGTCATTGCTTCGTTTGTAAGCAGCCCTGCCTCTGTGTCTAGAGCAGGCAGTGCTGGAAGGTTTAAGGCTACATGTGACCATTTACAGCCTATTAAACGATTGGTACAAATGCCCTTAAAAAGCCACTCTCTCTCATCATCCGCTGGGATTAGGTTTTCAATACAAATGACGACAGGGATAAAAGCTTTTCAACTCAACTACTTCTTTGTAAGATGAAACTCAAGTATCTGTGTGTTCCCACAAAGTGTACACGTAAATGGGTTTTAAGCACAAGAATATGACTGGGTTTCAGAAATTAATTTTTATGGCGGTACCAGGATTTGAACTCAGGGTCTCACGTTTGCTAACAGGTACGCTACCACTTGAGCCACTCTGCCAGTCCCCCAGAAATTACTTATTGCAGGGATCTACCAGGATAATGCAAAGGCAGCCTCTGATGTCAAAGGTTAAAGAAACACAGTTGCTGTTTTTACAAAAGAATACAATTTATAAGTCCTCTAAGAGATAGCATGAGCCATCCATTCAGATTCAATTCTCCAGTCATAAAAGATGAATTCAGACAGGAAGTGACTCTCAAGAGAAAAACCTTACTGAGTCAACCAGAACGGCTTGCTTAGCAGAAGCTGTGCTGGCACACGTGACCATTGAGTAGGGCTGCGATCCCAGCATTCCGTGCTAGGCTGCAAGTGTGAACCTGAACAACTTGCTCCTGCCTTTTCCTTCCCAATAAATGCAATAGGGAACTCTGAAGTCGGTGGTTAAGTCACTCGTTGCTAATCCAAAACCTAGAGGTTTGTGCACCTGATATTTGGGTAGTGGTGACAAGCAGCCCATCTCTGCTGCCTGTTATTGTATAGACTCAGTCACGCTCAGCAGTTTTCAAAACACTTCGTCACTGATCCCATACACAAGATGTCTGTAACACTGAATGACACCGTCTTTATCCGAGATGTCTGTTTTTCTAAGGCAAACATTTTTTCAGACAGCAGAATGTTCTTCCCAGAATCATTTTGAAATTTCTGGCTGCCTTACTTGTTTACACATATCTTAAAACTATTTAAATTTCTACTCAAGGGGCTGGGGTGTAGCTCAGTGGTAGAGCACCTGCCTGGCAGGTGCAAGACCCCGGGTTCGATGCCCAGTGCCACAGAACAGTAAATTTGTACTCGCAGTTTACTCATCACATAAAATAAATCCCTTGCTATCATTGGCAGGGTCTTGCGTCACATTTATCTAAAATGAGTACAGCCCATTTTCAGTCATCCCTGGCAGCTAGAGGCAGGAATGCTACCAGGAGCTGGAGTCCCAGAATGTCACCACAAGCCTGCAGTGCTATCTAGAGGGATCCCTTCCTGTTAGGTGATTAAATGACAGGTTTCCTTTCGCTTCATCTCTGTTGTGCCCTGCTCTGTCTATGGCAGGGTTGTGTAACGCTAATAACGGGCAGCTACTGGAAAGATGGCTCCTACACACACTTGACCTTACCTCCAATGGCTCGAGAATCACAAGTTATTATAGCTAAGAAACTGCACGCAATGACCTGTCTGCTATCATCACAACCTCGGCTGCTGTAAGAAGCCAGCTCTCTACTTTGACAAAGGTAATCTTAAGAGCTATGGCAATAATATATAACATATGTACACATACATGTGTACATGCATATGTATATGTAGGCAAATATGTATTTCTATGTATTCATTTACACATAGGATGATTCGACTGAAAACGTGTTGTGTTTTGAAACCGTATTGCTGCATCTTTTCTTGTCTGACATCACCTTGGCGGGGGGCAGCGTGAACTGTTTTGAGGGGGGCTAGAGCCAGTGCCACCCAGGGACCCAGCTTTTATTCTGTCTTTCTGAGACGCACCCTTGTCCACTTTGTACAGTGGCCCGCTGACTTGCTGTGTTGGTGGAAGTGGTGACTTCTACCGACTCAATGTCCCCATGGCACAAAAGCAGAGCGAGGACCTGCTCGCAGTATTCGTGTCGACGTCAGAATGCTCTGATGAAGGGGACAGCAAACATCTCCTGGTTACGTTCATGTCCACAGAGCCCTGAAGATGCTGAAAGGGTTAATTGTAGATTATGTCATGTGCATTGACGCTTTCCCCTCGTACACCGTGATTTTTATTTAACTATAACTAAATAAATTTTGGCCTCTTTAAAGGTGATCAGTGTGTTTTTGCGTAAAAAAGTCTTTTCTTTCTTACTTTCTTTTCCCTTCCTTCCGTCCTCCTTTCCTCTCTCCTCCCTCCTTTCCTTCCTTTCCTTTTCTTTCTTTTTTGGCTGTATATGGGGTTTGAACTCAAGACCTTGTTCTTGCTAGGCAGATGCTCCATCACTTGAACCACATCCCCAGCCCTTTTCTTGTTGTAGTTATTTTTCAGGTATGGTCTAGTGTTTGTGCCTGGGGCCAGCCTCAGACTGCAGTCCTCCTACCTATGGCCTCCCATATCTTCCACATAGCTGGTATCACGGATATGCACCACCATTCCTGGCTTATTGGTTGAGATGGAATCTCGCTAACTTTTTGCCCAGGCTGTCCTCAAACCTCTATCCTTCCAATCTCTGGTGGGATTACAGGTTTGAGCCACCATGTCTGGCCTGGTTTTTCCTTTATGTATGTATGTATGTATTTAATTTATTTATTTTGAGACAGTATTGGAGTGTCACTATGTAGCCCAGGTTGGCTCCTGCCTCTGCCTTGTGAGGACTGGGATTAGAGGCATGGATCACCATGCCCGGCTGGGACAGTATTTCTTTAGGCTTAGTCACACCATCTGGACAGAATCACTTAACATAATTGTTAAGTGAGTATTGAATCCGTTTAACATGAGTGTGTATGTTTAAAATTTTCATTTATTTATTTTTGCAGTACTGGGGCTTGAACTCAGGGCCTACACCTTGAACCACTCTGCCAGTCCTTTTTTTGTGAAGGGTTTTTTCAAGATAGGGTCTTGTGAACTATTTGCCTGGGATTGCCTCAAACTGCAATCCTCCTGATCTCTGCCTCCTGAGTAGCTAGGATTATAGGTGTAGGCCCCTGGCGCCTGGCTAAAACATAAATTTAATTTTAAAAAATAATAAATGGGTTGGCTAGAGGTATAAATCCAGTGGTGGAAAACTTGCCTAGCAAGCAAAAGGTCGAGTTCAAACCCCAGAAGCTCATTACCTGTTATATGAAAGACAGGTAACAATCTACACGTATAGTGTGGCATAGACACACTGTGCAGTTTTTGCAATTTTTTGAAAATAAACAAGACCAATCAATATGCAGAGTGAGGAAAGTCTTCAGGAGGTTCTTGGTAAAAGGAAAGCTCGAGATAGGTTTGATGTGACCCAGTGATGTTTTCTTTACAATCAGTTCAGCCATACACATAGGTCTATGTGTGTATAAAACATTTCTGGGAAGAAACACAAGAAAACTGGGTCTGGGGAAGGGAAATTTGGAGACGGGACAGGTCTTTTTCTAATGTCTTTATGCACATAATTGTTTTTTCATTGAAAATCTATATCCACATTATTTTAAATGCAGATGTTTAGAGATTTAGAATCTTGTAGGGGGTGGGGCTAATAAATCTAAATCTGCCTTCTACATAAGCTTATTGCAGACATACTTACACTATGCAGCCATCCTCCTGAATCAAGCCTCCCAAGTGCTGGAATTACAGGCATGCACCTCCTTGCCCGACTCCACTGATTCTTGTGCACACTAAAATTAGAGACCTACTCTCAACATATTCCAGAGCAAAACATTCTGATCGATTTCAAATATTTTCCCTGACTCCCACATTACTTCCTTTCATTCAGCATTCTGGACAATTACTACTAGGGAGCACTCAGAATGCACAATTCTTTTATGCTTCTGAGTTATTCAATCCTTTTCCAACCAACAGATGTACACTGGGCTTCTATGGGCACAGGGCAGGCTGATGCAAAGGTCCTGGCCTTGTGTAGCCCTCCTGCAAAGGAAGACAGTGACAGTGACAACGGAGCCAAGGGAAGTTTGAATTGTAACCTCTTTAAATGAAGCGGTACTGGATAATATCAACAATGCAGAAAACCATGGAGAACTGTCACTAGGAGTGATTGTCATTAGGAATGACTACTTGTCACATGAAACACGCAGGCTTCACTTTCTAGATTTGCAGTTTTCAAGCCCTTGGGACACAAGTCTACATTCTCAAACACCAAAGGAGACTGGGCACAGGGGCGAATGCCCAGCACTTAGGAGGATTAGACAGGAGGATCCTGAGTTCAAAGCCACCCTGGGCTACATGGTGAGAACCTGTCTCAAAAACAAAAACAAAAATTGGTAGGGGCAAAGACAGGAGTGTAGCAAGTACAAGATCCTGGGTTCATTTCCTAGCAACCCCCACCCCCCAAAAAATGAGGATCCAAGCAGGTGCTGGTGGCTCACACTTATAATCCTAGCTACTCAGGAGGCAGAGATCAGGAAGATCACAGTTCAAGGCCAGGCCAGGCAAATAGTTTGCAAAACCCTGTCTCAAAAATACTCGACACAAAACAGGGCTGGTGGAGTGGCTCAAGAGGTAGAGCAACTGCCTAGCAAGTGTGAAGCCCTGAGTTCAAAGGTGAGGCCTTGAGTGCCACCAAAAACAAAAAGCAAGAAACCCCCTGGGGCTCCAGAGACGTTTTGTTTTGCAGGCTAAATTAGCAATATTTACCACACTAGAAATCAAAATAAAGTAAAAATGTTTATGTATCATTTCATTTAAAAATAATAATGAGCTTACTATTTTTAAAAGTATTTTTATGAAAAGTCTGTTTTTCAAAAATTTAGTAAGAATTGTGGCATTGTTTTACCTTTTTAAAAACATTTCATTAATGTCTGGTTTAATAGAAAATAGGTGGGTTTTCATATTTGCTTCTGCAAATACAAATATA